ATTCCAAATGTTACAGAAGTTAATGAACTTATTAACTTAAGAAAGAATGTTCTTGAACCAGTTCATGAAGAAGTTGAAAAGAAATATGGTATTAAAGTACCATTCATGTATGGTACTATGGTTGAATGTGTTAGAGCAGCATTAACAGCTGATAAGATTGCTACAGAAGCTTCATTCTTCTCATTCGGAACTAATGATCTTACACAAGGAACATTCTCATACTCACGTGAAGATTCAGAAAACAAATTCATTCCAAAATATGTTGAACTTAAGATTCTTCCAGCTAATCCATTTGAAATTCTTGATAGACCAGGTGTTGGAGAAGTTATGAGAATTGCTGTTACTAAAGGAAGACAAACAAGACCAGAATTACTTGTTGGTATTTGTGGAGAACACGGAGGAGAACCATCATCAATTGAATGGTGCCACATGATTGGATTGAACTATGTTTCATGTTCTTCATACAGAATTCCAGTTGCTAGAATTGCTGCTGCTCAAGCCCAAATTAGACATCCAAGAGAAAATTAAATTAACTTTTTTGGTTTAAGTATTGATTTTGTTTTTATATATTGTTGTTTTATACATAAATGTTATAATTCTTTTAAATACAATGATTTGTTAAAATAATGAATTATCTAGTTTTTTTATCAACACTCTGTTCAGATACTACTTCATTATAGTATTGATAGATAAAGCAATATGCATCAGCAATAAAATTACTAGCAACATATGCATAAAATGCTGGAGTAGGGAAATACTTCCAGTTATATGGAGTATCTAATGATCCACATATTGAAGAAATAATGATAGATAATAAAACTATCATCGATGGAATAAACAAGAAATGATATTCTTCTTCTTGTTTAAGAGTTTGTTTATAAGCAAGAAGTATAAGTGGACTTGAATATACACCGAATCCCAAAGAGCACATTATTGTTTGAAGTGTATGACTAAGAAGCGTTGGTTTAAAAATAAAAAATGAAATCATTGATACAATAATACCAATAATAACAGACAATATTTGTTCAATCAGCGAATATGAGTTTGGTTTAATTTTATTAAATATAATGTATGTTAGTAAAGGTTGAACAATAACATTTGTGACTCCAAATAATATATATTCCAACAATGGCTCATACTGTGGTTCAACTCCTCTTTCTCCTTTTGTAGGATTACCAAATATAGCAAGAAGATAAGGAACAATTAGTAAATGAAATAAAGCACGAATTACAATGTATTGTGTTGCTTTCATTGTAAGAGAGTTTAATCAGTTTTTGGTTTTATTCTTTTTTTTTTCTTAAAAATCTTTTGAAAAACATTAATTTAAACAAAAATAAATAACAAAAAATTATCTTTTTAAGATATAATTTCAATTATTCATAACTATGAACTATATTAACGCCTCTATTTGTGTTGATTGTTCTATTAATTTACTTCATGTACTAAGTCATATTCCTTCTATAATTATCCCTGTCAAAATAGAAAACATACAGGTTAAAGATGTTTGTTTGGAAGCTTCAAGAGGATTAGTACCATTACTCTCATACCCATCTAATACAACTTATATTGCGGTTTGTATTTCATCAAATGCAATTGCCATTAGAGATCCTATTCGTTTATTATATGCTGAAGGATCAACTGTATTAAATCAACTTGATATTTTACTAACTACATTTCAAAAATTACCAGAAACCCCAACTGGTAATATTGCCCTTGCCTCACTACAAATTCATTACATTAATTACGTTGACTCATTCTTCAAAAATAATAATGGGGTGTTTTGTATAGAATTGAATGGATCAATCACTCACTCCATCCCTCAATGTCCAATTGTTTATTGTGGAACATTTAATCCATTTCATAAAGCACACAAGAAGATTATTGAATATATGTCAATGAGGTTTAATCATCGACCTATTATTTTAGATATTTCACAAAGAAGTGAAGACAAATCAGTCACCTCTTTAACTAATGTCTTTATTAGAGCTTCACAAGTTGCTGGTAAATATAAAGTAAATATTTCAAATACATCACTTTATATTGATAAGTGCAAGACTTATCCTGGAGGTACATTTGTTGTTGGATTAGACACTGCGGTTAGAATTCTCAATAAGAGGTATTATCAAAATAGCGAAATTAATTTAAAAAAGGCAATGCAGGTTATTGCAAGTATGGGTTGTAATTTTATTGTCGTTGGAAGAAAAGACGACATTACAAATCGTTTCTTAGAATTTGATTCTGTTAAATCAACACTTCCAGCAAAGGAATATCATTATCTTTTTATCTCCCTTAATGAAAAAGAATTTAGATATGACCTATCGTCAACTTACCTCAGAGCCAATGGGATTATTATAAATAAAAACATATTACCAAAACTTTAATAGAGTCTAATACAGTTCATGTTTTAGTTTTTGTTATATAAGAGAGTAAAAGACTAAAAAGATTAGGTGTTGTTTTGTATTAAGTTCTAGTTTCTTATTAATTAAATGATAAAATAATTTATTTTATGTAAAATAAACTATAAAGAAATTAAAGAAAGTATTTCTTTATGGAAGAAGAGAATAGAAAAATACTTATTAACAATGAAATAGAACAACGCACAAGATTTGTTGAACTTCATGATTCTATGGGTGATGGATTGATCTCTCGTATCAACGAGCGTATTCAACAACTAACTGAGCAAGAACAAAAAATAGTGTTTGGGATTATTGGAAGTTATCAACAAAGTGTGTTGGTTGATGTTAGTTTTAAAAAGGAAATGTTGATAGAATTAAAAAATATTCCTGTAGAGGTAGTTTATCGAGTGTGGAGGTATTTGGAACAATTAAATTGAGTTTTATGAATTTTTTATTTAAAATCTTTTTTATTTTGTCAATATAAAATGTTTAGAAATAAACCAAATTCACTTGATCAATTCTTTCTTCCTAAACAAAAGAAAGAACCAACTACAACCAGTAGTGTAGATGATCGACAAGAAAAGTCTCCTCAAGAGATTAAACAAATTTATATCCCATTGGCTGAAAAACAACGACCAAAAAACTTAGAAGATATAATTGGACAAGAGGATATTCTTGCAATTGGGACACCTTTTAATACTATGATTAAAAATGATAAGATTCAATCTACCATTCTCTATGGACCACCTGGTTGTGGTAAAACCACAATTGCAGGTATTATTAAAAATAATAGTAAGTCTACATTTATTTCTATGTCTGCTGCTTCAAGTAAAAAAGAGGATTTTAAGAAAGTGATTAATGACGCTAAACACAGAAAACGTATGGGAATAAATACCATTTTATTTCTTGATGAAATCCATAGTTTAAATAGATTGCAGCAAGACACATTTTTACCTGCTATAGAAAGTGGAACTATTATTCTTATAGGTGCAACTACTGAAAATCCATCGTTTGAATTAAATAATGCATTAATGAGTCGTTGCCAACTTGTAACATTAAAGAAATTAACTGATGAAGACGTTGTTAAAATAATGAGAAAGGCTATTGATGAGGAATATTGTAATTCAAAAATTGATATTGACAATGAAGGACTTCATTTTATTGCAGCTATTTCTGATGGAGATGCAAGAAGTGCATTAAATACATTAGAAAAAGTATTTGTTCATTTTAACCTCATGAGTGAAAAGGTTTTAAAAAATGAAATTAATGAAAAAGGTGGAATAGACATTGAGGTAAGAGAGTTAGAAGAAAAGGTTAAGAAAGGAGAGATTAAAGTATTAAGAATTAATGGAAAAATAGTCTCAATTATTGATAACAAAAACGAAAAACAAAAAACAGAAGAAATTGAGAAAGGGGTAATAGACAAAACAGACTCAGTCATAACTATTTCTGATGATATTAGTGATGTTGTTATAGTTCAACCTGAACCAAAAGAAATAACTCAAACAGAAGGAGATGTTTTTAATGAAAATATTGATTCTCATATAAAAGAAATAACTAAACCAAATGAAAAGTTAAAGATTAAAAAAGTGGAGAAAAAATATATTTTAACATATAAACTTATTGAAAATTACTTACAAAGAAATATTTACCAACCTAAAAATCAAGGAGAAGATCATTTTAAGGTTTTAACTGCTTTTCAAAAAAGTATTACTCATTCAGATGAAGAAGCAACAATATATTGGTTACAACGATTGATAGAAATGGGAGAAAATCCAAAGTACATAGTAAGAAGAATGATTAAAATATCTAGTGAAGACATTGGACTTGCAGATGTAGAAGCGTTAAATATTGCAGTCAAAACATTTCAAATTGTTTCTTCTTTAGGATATCCAGAAGCAGACACTGCGTTATATGAATGCGCTTTATATTTAGCCAGAGCACCAAAGTCATGTGCTGTTTTTGAAACAATGAAATATACTGAAGAAATTATAAAACAAACAGGATCATTACCTGTCCCACTTCATATCAGAAATGCACCTACTTCATTAATGGAGAAGATGGGATATTCTGTTGGTTATAAATATCCACCAAATTATAATGAAGTTTTAGATCAAACTTATCTCCCAGAAAAACTGATTAACACAAAGTTAGTTTTTTATGATCGTTTTGTTAAGCCTATTAATAAAGATGATATTATAATGAAGGCAGAAGAAAATGATTTAAGTTCAGGACAAGTTCAACGAAGTTATCAATTTAGAAATTTTGATGTTGATTATTGCAAAGATAAAAAAGAAATAACTCAAATTGTTAATAATTAAGTATTGCTTAATCAGGAGGTTTTGTGTTATTTAGCTTTATTAATTTAGGTAATACAATTCCATTTAACATTGAGGTTGATTCTATCACAAAAAATATCTTTAATTTTTGTTTTTCATACTAAAAAAGAGATTTTTTATTTTTATTATAAAGAAAATGAGAAGAGAAAATTATTTTGTTTTTGATTCTTACTTAAATCAATTGTTATTCAATTTAATTTGAAAAACAAACAATAACTTAAAAAATATTAAGTTTTATTATTTCTTTTTTTTTTAAAAAAAAAAAAGAAATAAGTTTCAAAGGATTTTCTTTTGATATTGAAAGTAAAAAAGAACTACAAAAAATTACAAGAAAAATGAGTTATTTAGAGAATGTATTTTTGAGGAATATTGTATTTTATTTTATAAATACCAAAACCATTAAAACATTTTGTTTTATTTCTAAAAGATGTCAAGAAGCAGTTATAAGTGTTTATCATCATCCTTACAAACTAAGTAAAGAAACGACAGTATATGATATTTTTAATTTATTTCCAAAACTTGAAACAATAAGAGTAAATTCATTTCATGATGAAATATCAAAAACAATATTATCAAAAGTAAAATTAATAGATTTTCAGAATATAAGAAACTCCCCATATTTACAACAATTTATGAATAAAAGATTTCTTTCAAAAATTATTAATATAAACATAATAAATTCAACATTACTTAATTCACTTATTTCAGATATGATATGGTTAAAAAAATTGAGAGTTGTTAGTATTGAATGTGTTATTGATCAACCAAATCTTCAATTATTATTACAAATTAAGTCTTTGAGATTATTAATATTAAAACAATCTAAACAAATATTTCTTTCTATTCTTCAATTCCTTCATTTAAAACACGTTAACTGTTCAATTTCATTAATTGAAAATAAATTAATAAAATATGACTTTAATTCTTCTGAAAGTTTTTCTAATAATTCAATTTCATTAGAATCATTATGTTTAGATTCTAAAATTAAATTATTTTGTTGGAGTGATGGAAAATTATTTAAACAACTAAAAAATTTAGAAAATGTTTATTGTATTAATTCTGGTTCATTCAATGAAACACTTTCTACAACTATTGATGACACAGTTCATTCAATTATTTCTCAATGTAATTATAAAATAACTATCACTTTTAATATTAACCAAAATACTCAAAATACTTCACAAATATTTAATTTCTCAAAAACTCCTATAAAATATATGTCATTAATAAATTTAAATTTTCAAATATTGTTTCCTCCTTTTTTAGAACAACTTTTTTGTGTTTCTTCAAGTAAATTTGATATTAATTCTATTCATTTAAAAAAATTTGATTTATGTGGTAATTTGATTGGAAAGATATATATTAATATGGATTTAATGGAATCACTTTCAATTGTTCAAACATCTACAGAAATCTTTGATTTGAAATTTAGATATGATAGTATAAAAGATTCTCTTATTGTCACACCTTTATTACAACTTATTAAAATTGATTTGTCTTGTTCTAAACAAAAATTAAAATTACAATATAAGAATATCTTTTTTGAGTGTTTTGGAATCACTAAAATTACTAATCTTTCTTTTGAAATTCAAGGAATCAGCAACAAGACATGCATCGTTAATTTATCTTCATTAAATTCTAAAAAAATTAGAATTAAGGATTCTTGTATTGGTGATTTGATTCTTAATGGAACTAACAAAGAAGAGTTATATATTGAAACAAGCTCAATTCAAAATATTATACTTTCTAATATCTTATTCTTTAGAGGATTAAGTGGTCATCTTCACAATGTAAAAATGAAAAATGTTGCATCATATAAAGGATGTCCTAGTGTAATATTAAATATAATCAAATAACCATTTTTTTTTTATAAATAAAATTCTTGTTTAATGATTAATTTATTTTATCTCTTTATATTTTTTTCTGTTTATCTATTCTATTATCTTATTTTATTTAAATAAAAATAGAAAAGTATTATTATGTTATATTATATTCAATATAAAATAATATTACTCTGTTTCATTGATATTTTTATAAGAAATACTTATTTCTATATTTTTGAATAGATGCTTTAAAGCATTAATGTAATATTTTTAATATTTTTAACTCTATCAATAATTATGTATATTAATAATACAACACATAATAAAAATATATAGTTTACTCATAAATAAAGAAACTGATATTATTCGTTAGGTAGACATTTTATTCTTGTAATTTATTTCTAAGACTCTAAAACTAGTTACATAAATTGTACTAATAAATCATAAAAATACAAAACATTTACTTCAATTCTTATTAGTTTATCAAATCATAAAATAATAATCCATCCTTTTTTATAATCAATGCATCAAAAAGACATTTGAGATAAATATCTTAAGTAATTTCAATGTTGAATATACTCATGTCAAAATATATTGCTTGTTCTGATACTTATCTTTTTATTTATTTTAAATAAGTAAATGTGGTTTAGTGGTTGTTTTAGTCTAAGTCGTTTTTTTTTTGTACTTTATTACAACTAAGATTAAAACTAAAAGAAGTAACAAAGAAATATATCCTAACAATTTAAATTAATATAAGAAAGGAATTAATACTGTTCGGTTCTTTGGATAATCAGGAAACTCTCGATAATATCTTTGATGTTTTTGAAGAGCCCATTCCCTCATTTGGTAAATACCACACAATGAGAATAAAACTCCAAAAAATGGAAAACCAGTCAAAGCGTTAAAGAAGATCCATGTCATAATTTCACAAAAATAATGAGGACAAGAAACATACTCGAATAAGAAACCTTTTGGAATAGCTCTTATTTGAGTCCCTGGTGGTCTTAACCATTTTAAAAGAAGATGACAATAACCATTTGAAATAATTGAAATGAGCATAGCACAAGCACAAATAGAAACAAATAAATCAGGAACTTGTCTTGAAAAAAGGTTTACATTAATAGAAACAGCAAGGGCAAAACCCCAATAATATGTACAATTCTTAAAAACGTTATTATAAGGCATTGTATTATCTCCAAATTCATGAACATAAATAGTTTCTAATATTCTTTTTAAATAATGAACAACCCATAAAAATAATGCCATATATTGTTGGTAAAGAATTGTTCTATTTAAGAATTTAAGTATAAAGAATGGAATAAAGTACAGTACCAATGGACCAATATATTCTAAAAGATAAACAAATCTGTATGGAAGTTGTCTTCCAAGGTCTTTCATTTCTAATTCTGTTTCTTCATTCACCCCACACTCAGTTAATGTTTTATCAACAAGAAGAATAACTTTTTTATTTTCTTTTGTATAATACCATATTCTTTGTTGACAAGGTTTAATCTTACAAAGTTTTTCTATTTCAACTTTCATTTCTCTAACTGTTTTATTAAGAGAAATAGGTAAAGAATAATGCAGTGAATTAAAAATGATTTTAACGATTGATAACCTTAGTTATAATTAATCTCATTAAATACTTTTTTTCAAGAAAATTCATCTTCTTTCTTTTTTGAATAAAAACCTTGATTTATTTAATTCTATATTAATTATAGTAATTTTTAATTTTCTTTTCTTATTTAATTGAAGGTACTATCTTTTTTTCTTCTATTTTTCATTGTTTATTCAATGGAATTTCGTTGATTTTTTTTATTACATACTTTTTATAATATTTTCAGAATGGTAATTAAATTAACAAAATTTGTTTTTTTTTGTTTTATTAAACAAAAAATAAATAAAACAATTCGTAACAATTATCTGTTATTATTCCTTCCATTTCTAAAAATATTAAACGGTATTTAAGATAACAACATTAAGAAAAAATAATTTATAAAATCCATAAATAAATTTAAAAAAGGGGGTACAAGAGGCAGATATTATTTTTAAAAAGAAAAGGTAATAATTTAACAGAATAGTCAATGTACATGAAAAAGAATTTAAAAGTTATTCAGTAGAAAACCAATCAGCTGTTACAGTTGAATAAAAGTTTTCATTAGAAAATCTAAACACACCTCTAACGCATGAACTTTCAAAAGTTGGAGTGTTTCTAACAACTTCATCACTTCTTTTATCAAATTCCATTTCTGGTTTTAAGTATGTTCTAAATAATTCAGGATAATCTGAGATATAATTTTCGATAACATTTTCTTGATTGTTACATACAGAATGGAAAATATTTACTATTTCTTCATCATATCCTTTTAATTCTACAAAAGCTCTTTGGGAACATCTTCCACAAGGATTTCTATTCATTAAGCTTGAAGTAACTTGAGTTCCAAATAAAGTAACACCATTTTTATTGAAGGGACCTATTTCCTTATATATCTTCAATTTAAGAGTTTTAACTGCAGTTGTTCTTTTAGCAAGTTTAAAATGAAATCTTGCTACTTCTTTAGAAACAGCATTAAAAATAGCAACTTCTTTATCTCTTCTTTTATTTTTATCTAAAACACTTGGGAAAGAATATTGTTCTTGAACAAGTTCATTAATATCCTTTCCATTGATAAAAGCATTTGCAATAGAAAGATGTGCAAGTGTATTTTTTGACTTCTTTGATGGAAGTTTGACTGTAACGGAATTACCAAGAACAACAAACAACCCAATTACACAAGCATTAGAGAGTCTTTCTCTATCAACAGATCGATTTCTATTAATTGATTGAAGTTTAGTTGAGGTAGTATTAGCTTTAGGCATAATATATTCAAATGATAATTAATTTTAAGATGAAGACAGGGGGTTTCATACATGACTTCAGAGTTCAACCAAATATAAAATCTAAGTAAATTCGAAATCATGAACCAAATATAATCAACACTTCCATTCGAAATTCATAATTCTTCATAAGATAATTATTTTTATTAGGAAGTTATCTGTATTTTTAAAAATTAACCCATATTTTTCTTAATTCTATGCAATTGTTTTTAATTACTACTTCTTTTTCAATAAATATTTATAATTATTGTTTTTAATTTAATTATTTTTGACTTAATCACTTTTCTCCTTTTTTATTAGTCAAATAACAACAACGAATGTATTTTTTTTTCATGAAAAAAGGAACTTATAAACCTTCGTTTTTTTTTCCTGTTTTTTGCTTCTATTGAAAAAATGTCTATTTTTCAATAAGTATTTTTTTTAATTTATTTTACTATTAAATATTAAAAAAATGAAAATAACTTTTATTTAGTTTATGCTTCAGAAGCAAGAGTTTGTAAATTTCTGAAATAATTATTCTTAGAATCTTCTAAAAAAATTAGAATTATTTAACCATTAGAATAATGGTTCATAAGCCAACGCTTCTTCATGGTAAAAACACCGGAAAAATGCTAAATTTAACCTGGACCAAAATTCTATTTTAAGAAATCTTGTATTGAACAAAGGTACATTCACCAAAAACATTTAAAGAAATTGATGTTTTGAAATGAGACAAAACTATTCACAAATTTGATTACAAAACATATTTTTAATTTTCAAAAAATCATGAAACAAGATTATTCCGTATTGAAAAAGTTGTAAAAACTGAACTATTTAATAACAAATTTGATAAAAATAATCATTATTTATTGTTATTTTTGTTTCATATTTTTTATACTTACATAATTCAAGAAGTGAATCTTTCTTTTTATAGAACTATCAAATAATAAACATGGATATTGTTAACAACGCAACAGACCAAACTATTACTATGAACGATGATATTCCTTTTGTTCCAACAAAAGTAAACCCAGAATCTAAGTATTTTCCTTTATGTATATGTTGGTCAACAATTCCTATTTTATCGTTTGTGTTGATTTTTTTCAATAAAATAATTTTGATTTTTAATATATAGATGGTTAGTTCCTTGTTTGGGACATACAGCTATTTCAGACCCTAATGGATGGATTTATGATTTCCAAGGATCATATTCTATTGGAGTTTGATGTTTTTATCTATTTCATTTAATTTTACTCATAACAAATAGAGAAGAAGACAAACTACTTGCTTTGGTTCAATAAAGAAATATGTTGAACTAAATATAAATGTTAGTAATGATGAATATATAAATGCTATTGAAGAAGTTAATATAAAATATAGTAAATTAACACATAATTTAGTTACTCAAAATTGTCATGAACATGTTGCTGATGTATTAAATAAAATAGCTTACAAAAATAAAACAACTTGGGGAACATTGTCTATTCTTTGGTTATTATTTAAGGATGCTAAGTACGTGAGTAATAAAGCTATTCTTTTTACTTACTTACCATTTTTATTTATCTTATTTACTTTTATCCTATTTACTACTTTCTTTATTGTAGTACTTTATTAAATTCATTACTTTTTTATTACAATTTTTAATGTTTACTTTTAATAAAACAAATTAGAGAAAAATGATCCAAATGAATTTAAGCTTTCCAAATGGCTATATTACCATCCATACCTGAAGTTGAAAACTCAAGAACATTCCATGCCTCATCATACTTCATTGGTCTAATACAAGTAACAGTGTTCTTATGAGTAGTAGTAATTTCTTCTACAGCACTCTTAACTGCAGCAGTTCCTCTAGATGAAAGAGATTTGAAATGATCCATAGCAGACATTGTTCCAGTAGACTTAGGTGCTTGTTTCTGATCAAGTTCTTTAACAAACTTCCATCCATCATCTCCACGTTCAAATAAACATGGATTGAAATGATGTCCAACAGCAACAACTTTATTGTCACTAATGCAAAGAACATCTAAGAATGGTAATGTTTTACATTTAATAGTTTGAACAGTTGGTTTTCCATTATTAGCTTCAATAAATGAAATAGAAGAATCATGTGAAACAAAAACAACAGTTGTTCCAGATGGTGTATAAGCAACAGAATGAACCCATCCATTAGCTTCAGTCTCAAATAAGAAAGTACCAAATTTGCATTTTGGAGATGAAATATCTTCTTCTGAAAATGGAGAATATGAACCTTTTGGGTCTAATGTTTTATTAAAAGCATTAAAAATTCTTGCTTTAAAATCAGTTGATGCAGCTGCTACAGTAAGTGAGTCTGGAGACCAAGCTACTTTAGTAACAGTTGATTTGAATTTTTTAACATGATCTGAAGCCCACCAATTTGATTCTTCATTAAATCTACAAACAGCAACAAGTTTATTTCCTGAAGCACAAGCAAATTTACTTTCATTTGGTGACCACTTAATATCAGTTGCAGCAAAATCAATTCTTAATAATACAAGAACTGGTACCCATTCTCCATTTTCATTTTGAGTCCACACATATGCATTTCTATCTTCTGAACATGAAACAATTCTATTTGACTGAGCAGCCCAATCAATTCCAGTAACACGTGCATCATGTTCATTTAATTTTGCTTCAGTTGTAAATTTATTACCATCAAAACTAGCAACAATAATTTCTTTGGAACATGGAGAATAAGCAATTTTAGTAGCATCACCATTCCAACAATGACATCCAATATTATCACAAAGATGGAAACTCTTTGGAGCTGACATTTCTTTAATTTAATTTTAAGTTCGTTTCTAGATGAAGTTCCTTCTTCAACTTTACTTTTATTTTTTAGATTTTTTATTGAGTCTGTGAACTTTAAAATTGATATTTAATAAGTTGTATTTCAATTATTTTTTATTTAATCTTAAAATTAAAAAATTTAAGATTTATTCTCAATTTAGATGAAACAATGAATGTATGAAAATTGATTTATAAAATAATTTAATCAAAGTCAATGGTAATGAAAAATTGTTTCAATCTAATAAATAATAATTTATACAATTTAAAGTAGAAGAAGTAATGTAATAAAATAAACAATAAAAATTAAATGATTTCAATACAATGAAAATTACATATATCTTTCATTTACTTATTTTGTTTATCATTTTATCATTGTATTAATCAACAATAAATAATAATAAACAATAAACAATATGGATTAGTCTATAACTAACTTATTATTTATATCTCTAATTTAATACATAATGAATCTTTTTTTGAGCATAAAATAATTGATTAGTATCATGTAGAAAAGAAAGGAAATATTCCAAGAGAAAGGAAAAAGAATCTCATCTTGAAAATTTTCATGAGAACTAAATAATTTGATTAATGGAAACTGGTCTTCTTGGTCATGCTGAACAAAAAGCACCAACCTCATTACAAAAATGTATATTGGGGTTAGTTGCATTACTAATTATTTTCCAAGCATTTGTACTTATTTTTATATTTACTTCTGGATATGTCACACTTGATAATTATAAACTATCTGCACAAAACATAATGGATAAAGCTGTTCAAGATGTCGATGAGGGATTAACTCAACCTACATTACCAACATCATTTGTTACACCTTACCAACTCCCACGATATTGTCAATATAATAGAGGAACATGTTGGGCATTAGCTACCATTGGTCTTTTGGAACAATCATATAGAGATAATGGTATTAGAAAAGGATTTCTTAAAGAAAATGAATATCTTAGACTATCACCTCAAGCATATGCTATTGATGTTTTAAATCAATGTGCTTTACACCCAGAAGCTTGTCCAGGCAAACTAGGAATTGATAATTCAACAGAAGGAGGATATGTAGAATGGTTATATGCATTCACTGATTTATATGACAAAGTTATTCCAGAAAGTGCTTGTCCATATGCACAAGAAAATGAAGGTCAATGGGAATGTGT